TTGCCATTAATGTCATTCCTAACTAGAAGACTAGAAATTAAGTTAGGTTGTAACTAGGATAGAGACAACTTAGTTAAGTAGGAACTAAGTAGGTTGTAAATATTAACTAGGAACTAACTACTAACTACTAAGTCGGCTTCGGTTCGGGTCAGTTTCTGTTTCACATATGAAAACCGAAACCGACCCGAACCATCGGTTATGATTTTTTACAACCTGAAACCGATCGGTGCTGAAGAAAACCCGGTCGATTCGGGTTGGGTCAGTCTGGGTTGATCGGTTTGGTCGGGTTGGGTCTTCTTATGAACAGCCCTACAGTCAACCTCTATGTGCTTGGTTCTTTCATGAAACACCGGATTAGAAGAAAGAGGAATTGCAGCCTGATTGTCACAGTAGAGCTTCATTGGATTGTTAACATTGTATCCTATCTCTTGTAGGAGGCTCCTTAGCCACACTAATTCACAAGTGGTATGTGCCATAGCTCTATATTTTGCCTCTGCACTGCTTCTCGCCACGATTGTTTGCTTCTTACTTTTCCATGTCACCAGATTACACCCAAGAAAAGTGCAATAGCCTGTGGTAGATCTCCTATCAGACATAGAACCGGCCCAATCAACATCAATATATCCTTATATTTCAAGTTTTCCCCCACTTTTGTATACCAAACCACGAGTAGGAGCCCCTTTTAAATATCTCACAATTCTTAGAACCACATCCCAATGAGGAACCAGAGGTTTCTGCATGATCTGACTTACCACACTAACCGCAAATGAAATATCTGGCCAAGTAATAGTTAGGTAGTTCAGTTTACCTACAAGTCGCTGATATCTGCCAGGGTCTTCAAACACTTCACCCATATCACTACTCAGCTTAGTATTTGTTTCCATAGGTGTTTCAGCTGGTTTAGCACCTAACAAACCTGTTTCCTCTAGCAAATCAAGCACATATTTTCTCTGACACAAATTAATACCACGTTTAGACCTTGCTAGTGATGGGAAGCGGAAAGGTGAGTGAGTGAAACATAATTAGAAATAGGATGAAGGGTACAAGTGCATTTACCTTTCTGTAAGGCAATGGGAAGATCAAGATCAGATACTAGGTTTGGGGCTGGTGTGGGGACAACTGTCGGATCTGTCGACATTGATGGAGCTGGAGGAGGAGCAGCCGGTACATGTGGGTGATGTGTATACACTTGATGGATAGGTGGCCGTTCAACAAGTGGTGGCACTGGAGGCAAGGACTTCGTCATAGCTGGAACAAGAGGAACAAAATCCGCAACTGGAAGAGGAAGAGGAGGAGGTGATAAGAAGAAATATCACCGGACCCTAAGAAAAACAGAGTAGACTAAAAAAAGGTAACATCAGCACACACAAAGGAACGACGAGAACTAGAACGATAACACTTATACCCTTTCTGGGTTCAAGAATAGCTAAGGAAGATGCACTTAATGGATCGTGCATCTAACTTGTCCTTCCCGGGGCCCAGATTATGGACGAAGCAAACACACCCAAAAACCCAACGAGAAAGAGGAAACGGAGACAAGGTGGGAAACAAGGTAATGAATGGGGAATGACCATCAATGATAGACGTGGGCATCCGATTAATCAAGAAGCACGAAGTAAGCACCGCATCACTCCAAAAGGGTTTGGGAACATTCATGTGATGCATGAGGGATCGAGCTATTTCCAAAAGATGACAATTCTTTCTCTCAGCCACACCATTTTGTTGTGGGGTGTAGGTACATGAGGTATGATGTATAATGCCATATTGGTCCAAGTATTCTTGAAATGATGAAGAGAAATATTCACGGCCATTATCGGATTGAAAAATTTTAATATGAACACCAAATTGGTTGCGAATCTTAGCATAAAATTTTTGAAAGATGGTAAACAATTCACTCATTTCTTTCATTAAATAGAGCCACATCATCCTTGAATAATCATCAACAAAATGACAAAAATATCTACACCCATTGTATGACATCACTTTATAAGGACCCCAAACATCTGAATGAACCAAAGAAAAAGGACTTGACACACGGTTATCAACCCTAGGACTAAAGGGAACACGATGATGTTTCCCCAACTGACACGACTCACAATCTAAAACAAAAAGTTGACTCAACGAAGGGGCCAAAGACTTCAAAACTTTCAGCGAATGATGACCAAATCGACAATGCCACTAGAGAGGAGAGAGATGACTGGAGAGTTGTTGATGTTCTTCAACCACCGTCAAGATAATACAATCCACCAGCTTCATG